ACACAGAGTCTACAACACAGAGTCCAACGCTAACATTATTGCTAAGCTTGTGGGACATATTGTCTGATTGTGCTTTCAGCTGGATAACGTTAGCTTGCTAACCCAATGACAGTGAATATATAATGGACAACGCCAACACAGAAGTGTCTTAAACCTGTCTGTTCTGAGCCACTAAAGCTCTAAAAGATTATTATTAAATACACCTGTGTTATCAATTATATGATTTATTTGAACAAACTGACTCAGTGTCTCTCTACAAATAAATAACTGTTTACATTTGCTGATGTACCAGAGGTAAACCCTAACCCTGTGTGTGTGTGTGTGTGTGACTTGTGACCTCCAGCTGACATCACTTCATCAGGTGACATTGAGCAGTGTTTGAAGGAGGCAGCCTACATGAAGGACTTTCACCACCCCAACGTCATCCAGCTCATCGGTAACACACACACATACATACATACATACATACATACATACATACATACACACACATAACCTACATCCATAATTGTGGATGTTCTGTAGATGTTCTGTGGATGTACTGTGGATGTTCTTTTGTTCTGTGGATGTTCTGTAGATGTTCTGTTGTTCTGTAGATGTTCTGTGGATGTTCTGTTGTTCTGTAGTTAATGTTTGATTTTATGATGTGGACACGGGTAACGTTTTCTTCTACTGACTCTTCCACGTAGGTTTTGTTTGCACAAGCAGCTTCAAGGTCATTCATATGGACTCCACAGTTCACATACATAAAGATAGCAGCATATGACCACAATAACAATAAACAAAGCTAAAGTCAAACAGAGCGTTTATAAAAAGGTTAAACTCTCAGGTTGAGCTCATTGGTGGAGGTTTTGATGAGATGGTCGGGGCGGTCAGGAGCTGGAACAACAACCCTATATAACGGGGGCAGGCCATGCAAAGTGTTGAACGGGATAAGTAAGACTTTAAAATGGATTCTGTGTTTTACTGGAGGTCAGTCAGAGAGTGTAACAGCCTGTAGCTGCTGCAGAGGAAAGACTACATTATGTAGCTCTCAAACAGATTGTTGGTGGCAGTGGTAATGTTGCACCGATAAAGGGACTGACCTACGTAGAACAGTCCGTTTACAAGACGGAGGAAGAGTCGATGATGAAGGTAGTGAGGTTACTGAGTTTAAGTTTAAAGCTGCCTGTGGTCAATAACAATTATAAGAGACAGATCGTTGTTAATGTGGTTAAAAATATTTCTTCTGTCCTATAGGAGTGAGTCTTCACCGGCGTCATGGTCAGAGGCTGCCCATCCCGATGGTGGTTCTTCCTTTCATGAAACACGGAGATCTGCACACGTTCCTGCTGCTGTCCAGACTGGGAGAACATCCGTTTGTAAGAGTAACATACCGCTATTACTATAGGAACGTACCGCTGTTGCTTTAGGAACGTACATGATAAAAAATTCTACTTGTGAGTTAATTAATCAGCTCAGTTAACAGTTTGAGTTTATGAAGTCATCGGATATAAATATGGCCGACAGCTCTTACATAACTCTCTCTATCCCCCCCTTGGTGGCTGCAGTACAGACTCTCTCTCTATCTCCTTCTGGTGGCTGACTGCAGTATAG